AAAAAAAAAAAAGTTTAAAAATAAATAAATAAATAAATAAATAATAGTGAACAGCTATATATCAGAGACATTTTATGGGGGTGGAGTGGGGAATGGGATCAAAAACAGTGGGGAAAAGTTAATACACTGGATTATATCACCCTTGTGATGGCACAAGAGTAATTTGGTGATGGGAAGCCCACGGGGATTACAACTAAGATGGAAAAATGCACAAAATGATGTAAAAATAAACTATTATATTATATAAAAAAACAGATTTATTTATTTATGCATTACAAGAACTAGGTACTAGTCAGAGGTATGGGGGCGGTGAGAGGATTCACTAGAGACAGAGTGGGGAGCAGAACAGGCAGATGTGCTGAAATACAAAGATGAGGGGAGCAGCAGGTGGGTCCAAGAGGTCTGCCACACCACGTGGTCACCTCCTTCGCCAAGAATCAAACTCATGCTGCAGTGGCTGCAGATGGCTTCATAGTGCTGTGTTTAACCTACTGTACCACCAGGGAGGGTCCAGCAAATAAATTTCTATGTCAATTTCTAAGGACAGATTACTGCCAACTTTCTTCAAAGGAAGTTATATCAACTGACATTAAAATCAATACCACATTAGAATATTTGTTTCCTCACAGCCTCACCCAAGTTTATTACCAAACTTCTAGATTTTTTTTTTATTACAAAAGTTTATTTTTACATCATTTTGTACATTTTTTTTCCCATCTCGATTGTAATCCCCGCGGGTTTCCCATCACCAAATCACCTGTGTGCCATCACCATAATCCCATGCATTTTTCTCCCCCAGTTTTTTTTTTTTTTCTCCCCCAGTTTTTGATCCCATTCCCCACTCCACCCCCACAAAATGTCTCCGGTATATGGTTGTTCTTTTTTTTTTTTTGAAAGATTTATTTATTTGTGTATACAGAACTGGGGTACAGGCCAGAGGTGCAGGGGCGGCGAGAGGCTTCACCAGAGACAGAGCGGGGAACAGAACAGGCAGATCGACCAAGTACACTGCTGAGGGGAGCAGCGGGCGGGTCAGGAGAGGTCTGCCACGCCATGTGGTCACCTCCAGGGCAGGCGGGGATCGAACTCATGTGGAAGCGGCTTTAGATTCTCAGTGCTGTGCTTTAACCCGCTGCGCCACCAGGGAGGGCCCGGTTGTTCATTATTTTTGACCAAACTTCTAGATTTTTTTCTATCAGGTTAAAAAAAAGTTAACTAAGTAGTTTAAATTTGCAATTTTATTATAAGAAGCAATTTTCATATGATTTTATCACTTTTTCTGTGACGTAAATGCCCAGAGTTGTTGGTCTTCTATGTATTTTCAGGCCACTTGATATCATTAGCAAGATTAATCCACTTAGTGCAATTGGTCTCTTTTCCCAGTATGTCATGCCTTTTATTATTATGCAGATTTTTTATTATTAGTATCCTACTAATTGAATAATCATACCTTTCCCCTCATTGATTTGATGTGTCTCTTTAATAACGCCAAATTCACATAATTTAATCCCTAACAGATACAAAGGTTGTTTGCTATTAGTTTATCTACTTTTTCACACATTTTAAATTAGGGCTTTAGTTTACTGCAAGGTCTAAACGCTAAACTGCACCCTATCTTCTCATTGCTCTTCATCAAATTTTTATGTTTATTTTCACAAATGAAAACTGGCTCCACATTTTCATTAAATCACTAAGTTAATACTTTTTAAAAATCAACAAAGCACTATGTTTGGTGACTGAACTATGGAAATGATGTGAATGAATAAGGGTAACATTTTTTTAGATTCTGAAAAGGAAAACCATTTGCTATCAAGTACTCCTCCCTAGTCAGACTAATTATATTCACTTGAGGTATTTACCAAAAATAAAGAATCCTAGACTCTGTAGGATTATTAGATCTTCTAAAGCTAATATATACAAACATGTACATATACACCTACTTCTTTTTACAAGTGGACCACATAATTAAAAAAAAAAATTTCTTTTTCTAGTCAACTTTATACTCTTCAGAATTAGAATGCCCCATCAACCACACCCTAGGATCCCAGCTCTTGTTTACCACACAGATTAAGCAATTGTGAAGTGCCTGCAGAATGCTCAATGAGGGTATTATAGATAGACAACTTTACTGTATTGATAATGGCCTTTCCATTATGCACAGACTGCAAATCAATTTTACTGTTAAAACCATAGTGCATAATATAGGCAGGACAGCTGTTAATGACCTAAAGTAGGCAAATAACACTCCAGTGAAAGAACAAACAGTTCTAGTCTATCAACTATTTGTGCTCTAAAAAACAGCAAATAATTATTCATTTATTAAGGTAAGCACCTTCCATTAACCACTACTCTTTTTGTAACTAGGTAGTATTAATAACTGATTATTTAAAAGTTCTGCCAGTCCCATGAGTGTACACCCCCTAGTGGAGTAAACTGAAACTACATAAATGGGTAACCTCAAATCAGTGTTAAGGCATTTGATGACTAATTAGTTAAGATGGTACCATAGATCTTCTACAACGAAAAGCAATGTTATTTTATCCTTTGATCAGAGTGGTCAGGTTAAGTTCACTTTGACTAAGTATTTATATGAATGAAATGGTAAGATATGAAAGGTATGACAACATAAGAGAACTCAACACAAACCACCAAGTGCAAAAGCGTAAAATTACAATAACTAGAAAAACAATACTGGTCTACTGTGAGCAAAGAACAATGGCAGAAGATGATGTCATAAAGATTTATGAAAAAGCAAGATCACATAAAGTTAAGAAAAAGTATGAGCTTTATTCTAAAGTTCATACTGGTTTTGGCAGGTCAATGACACAATTAACTTTATGTTTTTTTCTCAAAAAACAAGTCACTCGAATTGGTCTATATAAACTATAGAAAATAAAACAAGGATCTGTGAGAGGGCTTTGCTATGTCTAAAGGAGACAGAACAGGGTGGGAACAGGATGGTTAAAGTGTCTTATTTTTTACATGTAAAGAAAAGCACTTGATGATAGACTGGACATGAAATACGAGAAAAGAAAAATCAAATATTTCTCCAAGGTTTTTAACTTAGCAACTACATTTATAGGATACCATTTACTTGGGTAGACTACCATTTACTAAGATGAGAACACTGAAACAAAAAATTTGCTGTTTTGGTTTTGGCTAATGGGTGAAAACAAAGAGGGAATCATCATTCTATTTTGGATTTGTTAATATTTAAAATACCTATTGAATATCTAAGGGGAGATACTGACGGTGAATTTATAAATCTGGAACTCAGAGAGAGGTTAGTGTTAGAGGTATGAAAGCAAAACAAAAGGTGAAGTGAATATGAGTACAGAACCAAAAGTCTGGTGCCCAAATGCCATGTGAAGAAATACTATCCAAAAGGAAGTAGCCAACAGTATTAAATGCTGTTGAAAGGTCAAGTACACTGTGAATAAGCTACTGCAGAGCTATCACACTGACTCCTTAAGTCAGTGCTGACCTGACAAGAATGATTTCAGTGAGATGAGACAGAAAGCAATGCTGGAATGGATCAAGAGAGAATCACAGACAAAGAGAATGAAAGAGTAGATAATAAAAATGATCAAAAAAAAGGGGAGGGGCCCTCCCTGATGGCGCAGCGGGTTAAAGCACAGCACTAAAAAGCTTAAGCCACTTCCACATGAGTTCGATCCCTGCCTCCCCGAAGGTGATCCACATGGCGCGGCAGACCTCTCCTGACCCCCCCGCGGCTCCCCTCAGAGGTGTACTTCGTAGATCTGCTCCCCTCTCTGTCTCTGGTGAATCCTCTCGACCTCCGCATCTCTGGCCTGTACCCCAGCTCTATATGTATGAATAAATAAATAAACCTTTTAAAAAAAATGCTAAAAAAAAGGGGAGATCTTACTGTATGTATCTGATGCAGAACAAAAAAAGAAATCTGGTGATAAAAGAGAAACAACAATTTACAAAACAAGGTTTTGAGAATATAAAAGATGGAATCCATATACAAGAGTGATTGGTTTCAGAAGCAAAAATAGTACACTCACATAATAGAAAGAAAAAAGCATACAGTCACAAATACAGGTTAATTTAGAGCAAGTACAAATTATCTTTCCACTATATCTTATATAAGAAAAAAAATATATATATATATATGAGTGAATGTAATTTAAAAATTACTCACATGCTTCTCCATTAAGATATCCAAGGAGATCTTTTCTATCAGGTCTTCTAACCACAGGAATATTTTCAGTCTGAAATCAAAATTCAATTAGATATCAAAGCACCAAGTATAACAAACCTAATAAACATCATGTAATATCTGAACGGTATTCCAATATATCTTGGTAACACAACTTTAGAATCATAATTTTAGAAACTAAGCTAAGAGTCTGGAAAGTTTTTAAGCATATTAATTTTGGGGGAAAAATGTTTTAACTTTCACTCTTGAAATTCCAGCTATACAAAAGACAATCATTAGAAATGAAAACAATAAGCCTATCCCTCTTCAAAATCTCAATTCAAGTCTTCATTTGCCCATGTAGACTTACTCTAAGTAATTTTTTAATTTGATTAAATTTTTTAAATTTGATGATTTGCATATTTGGAATAAGCATAGTCCAATTACTTGCTCATTTTTTGCAGTGTTTCCAGAGTGCTTTCTTTTCTCACACATATACCAGACAGCTTTCAAAAATTCTACTTCTTTCAAATAAGCTAACCACTAAAACTAAATACTGATTATTAATGTGCTAGACACTTATACAAAAAAGTGTTAATGGTAGTTGATTCAACTTCTACATCACATATTTCTTTTTTATAATGATTATGTATAAATCCTGTGGGGGGGGAGGAGAGATTATAAATTAAGTCTGGAAAGCACATTCATTTTGGTAAAGTGGTTAATTTTCCTTTAATCTCCTACATTGGTGATTTTCAAAAATGTAATAAATGAAACAAAAAAGACAGTCCTTCCAGAGGAGAAAATAATAACAGTAATAATGAACAACTAAGTACCAGAAACATTTTACAGGGGTGGAGTGGGGAATGGGATCAAAAACAGTGGAGAAAGGGAAGTACACTGGACTATGGTGATGGCACACAGGTGATTCGGTGATGGGACGCCCCCGGGGATTACAACGAACGAGATGGAAAAAGGCACAAATGATGTAAAAATAAACTATTATATTATTTAAAAAAAAAGAAAAAGAAAAGACAGTCCTTGAGGCACCAAATCAAATCTGGGGAATGAATTCAATCAATCCTGTAGTTAAAAATTCCGTATCATATTTATAATGTAAACAAACAATGACACACAGGGAGGACTGCAATTTATAGAATTATATAGTTAAAACCTCTACCACTTTATGGAAGTTATAGCAAAATAACATGAGTTCTTTACATCACTGAGTAATTATTTTATATTGAACAGTGATTATACATCACTGCACCAAACATTCTGCATATACTCCTGAATGATGGAGATGAACTAGTCACTTTGAAAACTTTTTTTTTTTTAAAAGATTTATTTGTGCATACAGAACTGGGGTACAGGCCAGAGGCTCAAGGACGGTGAGAGGCTTCACCAGAGACAGAGTGGGGAACAGAACAGACAGATCGACGAAGTACTGAGGGGAGCAGCGAGAGGTCTGCCACACCATGTGGTCACCTCCGGGGCAGGCGGGAATCAAACTCATGCGGAAGTGGCTGTAGATTCTCAGTGCTGTGCTTTAACCTGCTCGCCACCAGGGAGGGCCTGAAAACTTTTTTATTCTCTTTTTTTTTTAAATATCGGTTAGGCGAAGTTTTAGTTTCTGCATGTAAGTATAAACATCTATGAGTCTACAGGATTTTCTGTGTTGCTTTTAAAAAAGTTGCCACACACAACATCATAAAGGATTTAAACTAATTTCCTTTCATTGTTTCTAAAGTTGTGTGATGATATATATGTTCACGACATAGACTATGGTGAATGGCTTCATATATCTATCTCCAAATTCTTCAAGCGGATAAATATATGTGTGTGAATCATATGTTGATGAAGTGGTTTTAAAATAAGTATCTGTAAGCCTGAAAACACACTTCATCATTTAGTCATTAATGAATCACATATATACTACAGCCAAATGAAAAAAAAAAAATCACAATACAGTAGGATAGACAGGTCAGGAACTTGCTTGAGAAAGGGCCTGCTCTTAAGAGGAAAAAAATACTAGATCTCTACAATATTAGAATTCTCCCCTTTAATCAGTGAAATTTTTAGAAAAATAGAAATGTTAAGGGGCTTTTCTGGTTGCATGGGTGTTAAATTCAATGCTATCAGGCTATAGCCAGCCACTGCAGCAAGAGTTCAATCCCTGGCCAGGGAGCTAAACCCACATGGCACAGCAGACCTCTGCTGTCTTACCTGCTGCTTCTCTCAGCAGGGTATTTCAATTTATCTGTCTGTTCTGCTCCCACTCTGCCTCTGGTGTATCCTTACCCCCCACACCTCTCTGGCCTGTACCTCAGTTCTCATATGCATAAATAAAAATAAATCTTTAAAGAAAAACAGAAGCTTTAAATCTTATGTGACCAAAGGGCCCTACGACACACAATAATAGTTACCAGTAATGTACTACACCACTCCCCAAGAATATAACCTCTAACTCTAAACCAAGTACCTGAATTAACTTTATTAACCCCAAAATGAATGGGTATATCCAACAGAAAAAATTCTAAAGACAGCTGAGAAACTGGAAGTAACTTACTTCAACAGCGACAGGAGGCAGCTTCATAACTTTAACAGTAGTGAACAGCTGATTGTATGCAACTGTGATTTAATACTGCACCTTTACAATTGCTTTCATTTCTCTCAACTACATCCCTCAATGTGCATCTGATAAATATAAACTCTTTATACTAGGTTTGTATATATTTTATAGTAGTAAATGAAAAAACATACCCAAATTTCATATACATAACTATTTCTAAATAGTTAACTATTTAGAACTAACTATGGGTTCCACTTGTTCTTTCAAAGTGCTACAAATCTCAAAATAATTTCCAAAGTATTTATTGAAAAAAAATCCACATATGTGAACCCAAACAATTCAAATCCATATTGTTCAAGAGCCAACTGTACTATCTCAGTTCACTTTTTAAAGCTGTAATATGTGTTAACATAGTTTTATGAAGAGGGATTCTGTCATTTTTCTCACTGACTCCTCACTGATAGAAAGTAAGTTTCCTCAAGATCACTGTTCTAAATACCAGAACGCTTCCAACAGCTCGTAATTTATTTAATATCTCTATAAGTGGTTTTAAAACTTTTGCTGTACACATTTTTTTGTACACATTGCCGACATTTCATATATATATATTAAAAAAAAATCACAAAGTAAAAACCTGACTAAGTCAGGACAGAGTTTCATACAAAGCTTTCATTCTTTTTATTTCAAACCCCTAAGGAAACTTATCCACACAAATCACACATATCAACTAAATTTTAAGTCAGAAAATGGTGTTCTACTTACAGCTGCACGTCGGACATAAACAGGATGAGAAAGATGTACATTGTTAAGCAGGAATAAGATAGAATCCAATGTGTAATACTCTCTGGGCTGGCCTTCCTTTCCAGTGCTGAAACAGTTAAAGTTAAGTTTTTAGTCACAATTCTAATTCACCTCTTGGAAATAGTTATATGTATTAATTTATCTATAAAAAATTGATCTAGCGTCACTTTACTACCTAACCATGGTATTTAACAAGGCAAACAAAAACCCAAGAAGCATACAGTCTATTAAGTGAAACTATGAATAGGACAAAAGACAAAAGAATACTAAGTTAGACAATGACAATAATCAAGTAAAATAAGCATACACTATTCATGTGTATTATACATGAACCCAATACTAAACAGTTTGCAGAATTTGTACAAAATTAGGCTCTGGATTTTGTCAACACAGTTACAGACTGGAAAAGATCCAGAGGAGAAAACTAATTAGTCAACACACAACTATTAATGGGGCAAAATGACAACTAATTTATCCTTTATCTCCTAAAACATTGCTGAAGAATATTCTTCTAATGTTTTTATAGTAAAAATGACAATAAATTTCAGGGGTATAGTTCTTATGACATCCCTCAAATTAGAACAAAGATATAAAGCCAAAATAAATTGCCTGTAATTTAAAGCAATGGAAGCTCAAAAATCCAAAACATGCTATATTCCTTGCTCACATATGAGTGTTTTATCCCACCCCATCTACATATTTTCTCCTCACCAGAAATTACAGTATTAACTGAATTCATCTAAATATGATCAATACAACCAATCCCAAACTACTTCTCTATCCTCTACTTCCATTTTCCCTCAAACTGATGTTATTATGTGAAACCTTAGATAACTATATATACTATACCATGGACGTTAATGCATGGCCACAACAGCTTTTAAATATGAAAATGAAAAACTATGCTCTACATACAATAAGGGTAAGTACTGTCTAATGTTTTGTACATGTACATATTTACACATGCAGACATAGATTAACAGCAAATGAAAATTATCTGTTGATGTGATTCACTGTTATGAAGGTATTAACTTCACTATTGTAAGCACTCTTTTTCACTACTGGCTTCACTAAACTTCTATCAAAACATTTCCTTTTCAGCTCTCATGCCTGGAAGAACTAATCCTCCATTTCACCCACTTAATTCCAAGCCACTCTTTAAAGCATACCCAATTGTTCATTTGTTTATTCAAGAAAAAACTGGCATTGTTGACAGGCCAAACACACTTTTATGAAACCACTCTTATTTCCCAAGCTAGAAATGGCTGCTCTCACCTTAGAGCTAAATACAATTCTTAAAAAGTTATGTTTTATCTTCTCCATTCTAAATTAATCCCTCTTTTAAAGTAAGGATCAAGGTCCTATGATGCTTTTCCCCTATCTTTCAGACTGAATTACCTTTTCCCCTGAAAAAGATAATACCTATACCACCTTGTAACAGGGAAAATACTTTTAAATCTAATCAAATGTAATTCTACCTGTGCAAATTCTTATCAAATGAAAAAATATTAGAAACACAAAACATCATATCAATCTAGTTAATCCACACATCCTCAGCTGCTCTCCTGCCAGCCTGTCACTAGGCAGGTGCTTCGTTTTACAACCCTTTTCCCTTTGCAAAACAGAAAAGGCAACTCTCCTGCCCACCTGTGACTATGCAGTTGCCTCTTTTTTCTCCTTTTCCTAAAAAACTTGTCCTTTTAAAACGAAAAAAAAAAGAAGTCCTCAAGGCCAAAAGCAAATTAAAAACGAATCAACTAACTAAATTTCCCCAACCTTTTCATCAACTCTTCATAAAGACCATTAGTCCCATTCATTCATAGTGAGTATGGAAGTTCTCCCCCAAGGTTCTAATTATAGTAATGAAGCATCAAAGAGAGGAGCATCACTAGATAAGACTCCAAACGAGTACCAGGCCTCTATCGAGATGATCAACGTTCCACACCTTTCTTTTTAAAACACCTTTCGCAAAATCACACACAGCATCAATTTCTTACTTAAATCTGTAAAGCTCATTCCATTTCACCAGTAACTTTCCCTCCGAGGAAACGCCTCCCATCGCCTACAACAGGTTTTGGTGGCTCTTCCAAAGTGACCAAATCGTTTTCTCGTCCTAACTTCATACTAGTTGATTCACTTGTCTCTTCTCGAGGGAACACGAAAACAGGAGAAAAAGGAGGAGCTGCAAGGGCCGGTACAGTTACAACATATGGCAGCCTCGGGGAGAGAAACAAAATTAAAAGAACAAAAAGACCTCTCCGGGACCGGACGGTGCACTCCTTTATGCACCTACACACATTGATGCCACTCGACCCTTACAGGTAAAAACGACCTGGAAAGAATCACAAACTCCCACGGTATTATTTCCCTTTGGCTTCCCGAGGATGTAAAGGGATAGACGACTCCAGACGCAGGTCCTCCCAGTGCCTCTTCCCCAAAAAGTGTAACTTCGGTCGAGGTCGAAAACTTTTACCCAGAGCACCCGTTCGTGTACCCCCCACATCACCCTATCCCCAAGGGAAACGGGGGGGAGGGGTTAGGAAAGAGTCGCCTGGGGGAGCCCAACTCTGCCAGACCGACCCTCCCCCAGAACATCGTCACATCGGACTTACCCCCAAACTACATAGTTGGTCTTCACATTCTTGGGCCAGGAGAACTCGCCGAAGATCACTTCGTCTCCCTTTACCACAATCTCCTTCTTCTGGATGTTGTACTGTCGCAGGACGCTGAGCACGTCCGCCATCTTCCCCCCCCCTCGCCGCCTCCGGGCCCGGCCGCCGCCGCCGCCGCCGCGCCTGCCGCCTTCTCCCCCTGTCGCCTCGCCCTCTTCCTCCGCCGCCGCCGCCGCGAACCAACAGCAGCCGCACTCGCAGCCGTCTTCGCCTACGACAGCAGCAGGGGCACTAGCCACCCAGGCCGCCGAGGACCCCACGCTAGCAGGAAGGCCCCGTCGCCGGCTGCCCGCGGAGAACGCCTGACTGAGCGCCGCCGGCGCTGGACGGCCGCCGCCAGGGGGAGCCGCTACCGCCCCGGAAAACGCCCCTCCCAGACTCCCCCTCGGCACGGGGCCGACTCCCGGCCCGAAGCTCCGAGCGCCGCGACCCCACGTTTCCGGACGGCGCACGTACGGGAACTTGGCCGGCGCGCGCGCGGAGCACGCATCGCCTTTGCCCCGCCCCCTGCTTGCAGCGCCGGGGGCCGACGACAGGTGCGCGCGCACCTGCAGGGAGGGCGGACACTTGTGTCCCTCGAGCTGCCGCTATTGAGGAGAGGGCACTGGCGAAGGGTCCTCCTTTGGTGAAGATGGAGCTTATGAAAAGATCTGCACACGTATAGGATTATTTTCCCACCTAGATCGGACCCAGATCTAGCAAATCACCTCTAGGTTTTAGTGAACATATTAAAAACCTCTTTAGATGGGGGTGGGGGTGGGGATAGGGGAAAGTTGTAAGGAGGGTGGTTGTTCTTGAGATTTGCTGAATAAGAAACAGTAACTTCCGTGATCGATGCGAGTCCCTGCTATATGTTAACAACTGTTTGACCCTGGATCACATTCTGTACCTTTTCACCGCACCAATTGCTTAATGGAGTTAGTATGAAAATATGGTGAAAGTGTATAACAAATCATCAAAATATAAATGTTCAATTTCCCCCTCCAGTTCCTTAGATAATGACTTTTTCCACCTAGCTCCTCCCACCAAAGCGTGAAGACTGCAAATGGTTCTGTACCGAGATGCCAGTGAAAGAGAAGGCAAATTCCAGGCCATACAAATTAAAATACGTATGGATTATTGAATGGGGGAGGTGCTGTTTTCTGATTTGTTTGTTTTTAGCACTCAGAAAAATCAAGGGCATCCTTATGTGCTGGGACTGATGGAATTAATTCCTGTATATGTAATAAGTTTTAAGTTTTTCAAACCTTAAGTCAAACATACAGCTTAGGGCTGATAACTAATATTTCTTTTACACCAGCAGCAAGAAAAGGCAATTTTGTGATTGACATAACCAAATTCTGTTAGAGAATCCAAAAGTATTTATATGAGCTTGCCTGCCTCCCCATGCAAAAATGAAGAACAATCTATATGACTATCCTGTGTCTGTCACTTTATCTGGTATATTGCTAGCTCCTAGAAAATGTTCAATTAATAAGTGGATAGACAAATTCAACTAATTGAAAGTTTTTGATATTCAAAGTTTATGGTAGATTAGAAGAATCAATAGTCTTCCTGTCAGATCTCCATTGTAACAAAAATTCCCCACATTGGCCCTATCCTGGTGGCACAATGAGTTAGGACTCAGCACTGCAGGCTAGCAGCAGCCACTTAAGTGCATGTTTGATCCTTAGCCTTGGAGGTGACCCTCATGGCATAGCAGACCTCTGCTGTCTCGCCCACTGCTCCCCTCAGCAGTGTTCATTGAACTGTCTGTTCTGTTCCCCTCTCTCTTTGGTGAAGCCTCTCACCATCCCTGTATCCTCTCACCTCTGGCCTGTACCCCAGTTCTGTATGCATAAATAAATAAATCTTTAAAAAAAATTCCCCACACTAAAAATCAGTATGAAACAGAATTAAATTCTATCCCCTCCCTGTGACTAACTTTTAACTTGCCCACCTACCTGGTGGCACAAGGGTTTAAGACTCAGACAATGAAGCTTACTGCAGCACTGACTTGTATTCCTAGCCCTGGACCTGACATCCATGGCCCAGCAGACCTCCCCTGTTTTGCCCACTGCTTCCCTCACAGCGTACTTCAGTCAGTCTGCCTACTCCCTTCTCTGTCCCTGATGAATCCTCTTACCTCCCTCCCAACAACTCTGTGCCTATAGCCCAGTTCTTAGATGCATAAATAAAATAAAATATAATTTTTAATTATAAGATGAATAAATAAGCCTTCCCTGTTGGCGCAGCAGGTTAAAGCACAGCACTAAGAAGCTAAAGCCACTTCAACGTGAGTTGGATCCCTGCTTGCCTAGGAGGTGACCCACATGGCGTGGCAGACCTCTCCTGACCTGCCCACTGCTCCCCTCAGCAGTGTATTTAGTCAGTCTGCCTGTTCTGCTCCCCACACTGTCTCTGGAGAATCCTCTCAACACCCCTGCACCTCTGGCCTGTACCCCAGTTCTGTATGCACAAATAAATAAATCTTTAAAATAAATAAATAAACCTATAACTTGCAACTAAACCATTTCTCTCCTACTGCTTTCTTGGAAAATTGGTTGTGTTACATCCCTAACAAATATTCTCTGTGCTCCTTTGAAGTTGGCAGTGTTAACTGGAAAATAAATTCTAAGAACAGCTAGATGAAGAGTTTATTAGCTAATCATTATGATGATTCAAAGCCAGGAAGCAACCCAACAGATTTTACTCTGTCAGAGCTGTTCCTCCAAACTTAAGCCTGAATTTAGTTTATATAGCCAGAAACAAGGAGTCATTGAATTGAGAACATAATTATTCTTGATAGGAGGAACTTCTGTTTCCAATTGTCCCAATATGCTGATATTACAGGAAGGCAATTAGGATTGCCATAAATTCCTCCATAGTTTGCCCTGCAGAGATGAAAAGACTAACCCCTGCAGGCATCAGTTTCCTGCACACAAACAAGAGCCTTTCAAGATTGCTCATTTGCACCAGTCCAGTACTGGGGTTCTAAGAAAATTTTGCAGTATGTTTACAATAGTCTCAAAAGCAAACACCCTGATTTATGACACCTCTTCTGACTTGGAAACACAAAGCTCCTAACTTCTTTCGTATGCTGCAGTCCCTCACTCTCCTCCCCCTTATATATAATCACAGCAATGCTACCATTAGGGTCGCCAGTTTTTAGGGTGCTAATCTCACCAACTCACTTGTGGTCACCTCAAATAAACTCTGTGAAAGACATTCTCATGGTTCAGAGTTTGACTTTCTGGGTAGGGAATAAAAGACCCCAATGGTTGCTACATTCTCAAATGGTGTTTAAATTTACTTCATAGGCAATCTTAGATCATTCAGACTTATAGATGAGGATACCATAATCTGTTTCAAAGAACAGAAATTTTTTTTTCAACATTCTGAAGGCCAGGAGGTCCAGGATTAAGATGCCGTCAGATTCAGTATCTGATGGAAGTTAGTTTTGGAGGCAGGAAACCTCAGCCTTTCTTCACGAGGCATGCTGACCTGGTAAAAGGGAGGAGTCAAAAAAAAAAAAAAAAAAGGAAGATGTCAGCTTTCTGGGGTCTTTTTGCTATGAGACAGATTTTTATATCTGTTAAGAACCCCAAAACTATTCTGATGCTTTTTCCAAGTGATTATATCTGAATCACTTCTCAAAGCACTCACTCCTAACATCTTTATGGGGATAGCACTTCAACACCTGAATTTAGGGGAGAGGCAGTGATACAAACATTCAGTATACAATAATGACCAAACAGTCTCTCCTTTGATATAAATTGTGCTTTTGAGGTTAATGTTTCTGAAATCCAATGTGGTGAGATACGTCATTAGTAGTTTGTTACCAGGTAAAAGATGGATTTGTATATCATTTTATTTTTATTTCAGTCTCTTCCAATCACCCACTAATACTGATTGGGTAAAGTTGGTGTTACAATATATGAGGCAAAATTAGTGGTAAATCTAAAAAACTAGAAAGCAGATTAGGCAAGATTTAGAAAACCGTTTCTTTGTTTTTAATAAAAACTGCTCATTTCTCTAGTTATGAACTTCTGGAGATTTCCTAACAATCCTAAATTTGAAGTCTCCTGATAAAAAGAATGTCCAGAAACCAGAGGAACTAGTATATCTTCTTAGTTGGAAACCATGGGTCCATGACCTTTAACCTTGAGAGTTTTTCTGCCATGTCTGACAACAGTCCCAAGGACATTATGATATTTTTTCAGGGTAACTAAAATCTCTAGATCTTAAGTGTCTTTTTTTTTTTTTAACATGATTTTCAAATACATGTGCACATTTTCTAAAGATTTATTTATGCATACAGAACTGGGGTACAAGGCAGAGGTGCAGGGGTGGTGAGAGTCTTCACCAGAGACAGAGTGGGGAGCAGAACAGGCAGATCCATGAAGTACACTGCTGACTCGAGCAGCGGGAGAGACAGAAGAGGTCTGCTGTGCCACGTGGATCACCTTTCTGTGCGGGGATGGAACTTGCAATGAAGCTGCTGTGGCTGCTTGCAGTACTGACTCCAAACCCGTTGTGCCACCATGAAGGGCCCTGAAGTGTCGTTTTCAATGTGTCCTTTAGAGCCCTACCAGTAATTCTGGAGTTACCACCTGCCTCTTGCAGTATTTATTCATATTAGTTCATCGTGGATAGAACCTAGGATTGGAAGTAAATGTTTGAAAGGCAGTATGGGAGAGCGTAGTTATTAACTAATGAAATAACCGGTGCATCCCAGAAAGGACAATCTTCATTACTATCAAGGCCAAAGGAACTACTAAAGCCTGTGAAAATTCATACTTTCTCACTGCATTTCTCATTTTAGTTTCAGGATTCCACTTACTCTTTTTAGCTTTCTGAAATTATGGAAGATGAAAATGTGGAGCTAGAATCCATTCTGAGAATAAACAAACCACAACCTGAGTACACTTATAATTTATTATGAGAAGAATCTGTAAAATCCATTTGGCAGTGTTCAAAGGCACCTCAAATTTTGGCTTCTGTCAATTTCCTATCTTTACAGTCCTGCCGATTTTGTCCTTAGCTGTTAGGGCGAGGACTGGAAACCTCAGCAATACAATTGTAATTATTCCAAAATTGATTGCATACCA